AAGGCATATAAATAGGAAATTTTAATCCAAAATAAAATTGTGAAATGAAAAAATGATTTTTTTAATTTTATTCTTTTTTTTAACGTAGAAGCATACTTACAGCATTTCTTCATTAGTTCTTTATTTTTCTCTATAGATGTAGTGCCTGTGTGAGTGTAGGGTTTCTACAGAAGTTGTATTCCTTACTTTGGCCTTGCAGCAGCAGGATGTTGCAGCTACTGTGGTAGTTAATAAGGACAGATATAAAAGATTTTTTGAAGTCTGCTCAGCAAAGTTCATCAAAACATACTTAAATCTCAGCGGTCTGTGTGCCTTCACTGGGGGAGAGGGGCAAGGGGAAGAAAAAAATTGCACTTGGTTTAGAATCTAATTGTCTATATAACCTAATTTTGCATTTTTCTAGTATCCTGCAAGCTGGTGTTTCACAGTCAGAGAGTCAATATAGCTCCAGTGAACCTCGCTGAGTAGTTTTGTGATTACTAGTAAAGTTAGTGGGTCCTTTGTACTTTCTAGAATGACAATTACAGCTTGAGGAGCTTAGAGTCTAAGAGATACTTTGTGTCAAGCATTTTACAGAGCTCTAGGTTAGGTATCCTGGTACTAGAAGTGGGGGAACACAGAGTCAAGACCAGAAGAGGCCACTTAGATACTGTTCTCTTTTGCACACTACAAGCAGGAAGGGTCTGTGAATTAAGATTTTCATTAAAGAGATGTCCTGGGTTCAGCTGTAACTGTTATTTTTCTCCTTAGTAGCTGGTGCAGTGCTGCATTTTCAGCTTCAGTCTGGGAGCAGTACTGATAACACTGATGCTTTTAGTTGTTGCTAAATAGAGCTCACTCTGATAAAGGACTTTTCAGTCTCATGCTCTGTCAGTAAGGAGGGTAATAAGAAACTGGGAGGAAGCAGAGACAGGACACCTGACCCAGACTAGCCAAAGGGGTATTCCATACCACAGCACGTCATGCCCAGTCTATAAACTGCGGGGAGTCACCCAGAAGGAGATCGCTGCTTGGGTTAGTCTGGGTATCGGTCATTGGGTGATGAGCAGTTATATCAAGCACCGCTTGTGTTTATTGTTTTCTTTTCCTTTTCCCCTTTTAGTTCTGTATTCTCTCCCCTTGCTATTTCCTTTATCATTACTATTATTGGTGGTAGCAGCAGTGATTTGTGTTATACCTTAGTTACTGGACTGTTCTTATCTCAACCCGTGGGAGTTACATTCTTTCAGTTCTTCTCCCCATCCCTCCAGGAGCAGGGAAAGGGAAGAAGGGAGAGAGTGAGTGAGTGGCTGGGTGGTTCTCAGTTACCAACTGGGCTTAAACCACAACAGAGTAGGGTGAAAAAAGATAAAGGGAGCCAAGAAGTCTGAGGATCTTACAAAAAAACTGGGAGAGGTGGGGGGAAAAGTATTGGTAGATAGTAATTGACTTGAAAGAGTGATGAGCCAGTATGTCCTGCTTACAGAAACAGGTTGTGGAGTCTCCATCCTTGGAGATACTGAAAAGCTGCCTGGGTCACCATGTCTTGGTTGGCCCTGCTTGAGTGGCAGGGTTGGACTAGATTGCCCCCAGTGGTCCCTTCCAACCTCAGTCTTTCTGGTATCCTAGTTGAGGAGGGAAGGGTGGGCTGCGTTTCACAGTTAACTCTGGTTAAGTAACGCACCTAACAGCAGAAATTGTACCTGTTTATGATCCATCAGAACTTCTTAGTAAGGTCCCCCAGGTACTGCCTGAGTCTCTGTACCACCCTTTTTGGAATAACCATTCCTGCACACGGGTTGATTTTTGGAAGGGGAGAAAGAAGAGGACATTAGGGCACATGTGGAGCACAAAATGGTATCTCTTGAAACATGTTGTCTGTAAATAGAGTCTCCGGGGTATTTGGTGATGGCTTGCAGGGAGAGCTTACTTTAGAAGCAAAGGCTGTGGAAATATATTAGCATTTGGTGAAAAAGCCTTCCCAGTTCTTAGCCTGCTTCCGTTCTGGAACTTCAGGTGTTTTAAAGATACTGACTGTTTTCTCAGTACTGCCTTGCTATGTAGATAATTCTTGTGGTAACCACTTCTTTGTTGTCTGAACACGGGCTGTGGAGCAGGAACAGGATGGAATCAGTAGGAGTCCATAATCCCATTGCCCTGTTGTTTCTGCTTTTGTACGCTGTCATATCTTGTTGTTCTAAGTTCAGCACTGCATAAACTTTTATTTTTTAAATTTTTTTTTATTTTGAAATTAGCTGCTTTCAAATACGGAATTATTTAATCACTGACTCGTACTTCAGGTTAAGAAAGCTGTATACAGTATTGCTTTAACCATTCAATAGCAACTTGATAACAGCAGGGTTTTTTGTGGGATGCGGGCCTTAACAAAGTCATGTCAAGAACCCTCCTGTATCTGTAGCAGTGCTGTGGACTTCTTATCATGCCTGGGTATTATGGAGGTTCTCACAAAAAGAAATATTAAAAAATCTCTTGCCTAGGATTTCTGCAGTAGCTTTGGTTCTTATATTTTTAGTTTGCTGAAGAGAGAGGGTGGAGCAGCAGTGTATAAGATCAGAATTAGAGGCAGATTATCTCCCTAATATGGTTCTTGTTAGCACAGATAATATGAATACCGTTTGGAGAACAAATGGATTGTGGAAAAAGAAATTAAACCATCCAGATTCTGAACATTTGGAAAGCATGACACTGATGTATTTGTGTAACCTTTTCATGAAGAGTGATGCTGAAGTCAAAGAGGGGATTTTGATTTCCTTCATTAAAAGCCTATTAAATGAAGAAATAGGACAGCCATTGTTTTGCTTCAGTAGTTGGGGGTCGTGGAGGCGGGCCTGATCTCCTCAGGATATTAATGCGTGCTTTCAGCTGGGAGAAATGAGCCTTCGCTTGAGTTAGCTGCAGCTTTATGTGCTCGTCACTAGGGATCCCCATATGTCCTGGGATCTGCGGCAGTCAGAAATGGCAGAGCTCGGCAGCAGAGAGCAGAGGGCTCTCATTTCTATTCATAACAGGTAGCTCGGCTCAGTCTGCCCAGAGCGAAGTCTGTTTAATGTTGATCAGCTGTCCATCTGATAACCTGAATTGATATGGACATTTCCTCCAAGGGCTGCCCTGGCAATGACAGCAGGAGCATCGGGATGTCTTGTTAGTCTTTTTCTCCGAGCTTGAAATTTTATTAACCCTTTGTTAGAGCTGAGCCAAATGTGATTACAATACTGTGGCTGTAGGTTGTGGGAGTTTCTTCCTAGCCTCTTTAACAGTGTCAACCTTCAGTTCTATTGTCTACATGGAGAATGGCTGGCTGTTTCGGTTTCAGGTTGGTTTTCTCTACATGGAGCAAAAATTGTGAATTATAAAGGCAGTTTTAGAAACAGCATAAGTTTTTGTATGTGTGTGTGATAAAATATGTTGGGAACCTTTGTTTAACCTCATGTCCCAGCTCATCTACCTTTTGCATGCCTGCCCAGGCTCTGCTAGCTCTTCTCTCCTGCTAACTGGCACAGATCACTGGCCTGAAACAGTTGCTGCTGGGGTTCTTCGCAGGTCAGAAATATTTGGGGCAGAAGGTTACTTTAAATTAATATCATTCAATGTGGTTGCAACACATCTGCACTGTCCTGAGGAAACAGTATTAATTTATTCAGTACTACCCTGGTACTGAGGCAGAATCTAAGCTGAGTGTGTGTGAGCAGGTGTATGTGTATGTGAAGGTATGGAGCAGTTTGGTTACTTAGCTCCTGGTTGCTTCTTGAATAAGCACAGGAGCATAATACACCTTTGTACTACGGTGCAATTTGATTTGAACTTTAGGGCCTTTTAATCATCTGTCTAGTTGAGAGCGTGCATTGAATTTCTGATCTGCTCATATGTGAAGTCTCCATGACATAAAGGGAACTGCTCGAGTCAGAAAACATGTGAATGTGCTGAAGATTTCCTAGGGGGAAAGTCTGTGTGTGTCTAGGTTTGCAGCATTAAGAGAATGCTCCAGTTGCTCAGTTCCCCCCTCCACTTGTCCCTGCTCAGTTACTATGTCTGTTCATTGCCCTGTTGTAGTTCTGAGCTAAGGTGACATCTCTGGGCTCCTTGGAGTGGCAGTCACTAACTATCAGGGTCTACAAGGTTGAATTGTGCAAAGAGGGGAGGAGAGGGTTTTGCTAATGACTCTTGTCATGCCTTTTCCAAAAATGAAAAAAAAACAGAAGGCAAGCCCCTGTGAGATAACCTTTGTGGCCAGCCTCTCACAGGGATTTGAACCCTTAAATTCATGATGTGGCACAGTGTGTGTTGGAACAAGAGGTGATTTGTAAACCTATACAAATAAAATTTGTTCTGTGCCCTTTGCTGGACAATCACCTCTGCTTCTCTGCCTCTTCTGACTAAAACAGCCAGTGAAATATCATTAGTATGGTTTTAAAATGTCAGCTGTTTCCCCTCTCCCCCCTGCGCCTCCTCTTCCCCTTCCCTTCCCCCCCACCCCCCCTTGGTATTAGTGAACTGCAGGGTATCCTGTTATTAATTTAACTCTAATTTGAGCAGTCATTGATTGCAGCATTCTTACGGTGTTCGGATCAGCCTGCTGGTGACTCCTTTGTTGATATGTTCTTTGTTCCTTCCCATCAGTTCTTTCTGCTTGGTAATTTCTTCATGTCAGTGTCCCTCAAGCTTCTAGAAGACAAAACAAAAAAACAAAGAAAGCACCATGAAGACTATTGATTACTTAGCTTTGTTTTGCAAAAGAATTCAAACAAATGAGAGCTCCAAATGGAACCTGTGGTACCTGCAGCTTACCTGGAAATACACAGTGGTAGTTCTCTGTGCTTAACACCTTCTGGTTGTGGCTTCTGGAAGTGCATAAAAGAACTACATGACAATTCATAAAACATCTGTTTAGCACATGTGGTTGGTTTTTGTTTGGTTTTTTTTTTGTGGGTTTTTGGTTTCCCCTAAGAATATATATTTTATTGATAGCATCAAAAATAAGTATACTTTTTCTTTGCTTTCAGTCAAAGAAGTCTGGCTGAGATCACAGAACTGATCCACACTGCCTTTCTGGTGCATCGTGGCATAGTGAATATTGGTGAGCTGAAGTCCTGCGATGGCCCGCTGAAAGATATGCAGTTTGGAAATAAAATGGCTGTTTTGAGTGGAGATTTTCTTCTAGCAAATGCTTGCACAAGCCTTGCACAGCTGAAGAATACCAAGGTAAAAAGAAAAAAAATCTACTGCCAGAGCAAGTAACAATTAGTGACTCTTCTGAAAGAGACCCTTTAAAAAATCAGCAGTTTGCATACGTCTGCATCTATGGAACATCCTTTAAAGATGAGCATACTTATGTTATAGCTCTAGGTGGGTTGACAGGTTGCTGTTGCTGTGAACGTATTTACCACTGCCCTATAGGATTACTGTGGTGATGTCCTCAGTATACATTCTGAAGCACTGTGGTAATGGATGAATGGTTTGTTTGGTGAATTTAACGTGTATGTGGTGGCATGCTTATGACTATACCACCTCTGGCAGACTGCTAGCTGAAGACGTGTTTGGATTTTTTTTTGTTGTTTTACCTTATGCTTTGTGGATGGTTTGTCAGTCTTTGGGAATTCTTAGGGGAAAAGGCTTCACTGGTTTGTCTACACAACACTCAGGTCACTCTTAATGAAATTATGTTGTTAGGCATTTGGATGCCCCTGCGTATTGGATTGCCCTATTAATGTGGATGTGCTGCCTTCTAAAGGGCAGCTGCAATCCAGCTGCTCAGCCAAGCTCTTTGAAACGTTACAAGTTTTTCATGACAAACAAATTATATATATGTATGGTCTTAGAAAATGAGCCTGATGGAGACCTTAAGAGATCATTTTCTACCGGGTTCTTCTTTTCCCCAGATAGGATCAGCTACAACAAATTATTATTTACATGTTTGTCTAGCTTGATCTTTAAAATTCCTATGGTGAAGATAGATTCCTGGGCATCTGTGTGCCAGTCTAGAGTAACACCTAATTACGTGTATGGCTGAAGAACTTACTGTGCCATTCAGTGGAAACAGCAAACAGTTCATTTTTGCAGGGGTGCTCTTCATACGTCTGAAGATTGCTGTACATCCTAATGTAAATAAATGTTTGCCATGCATGCAATTGTCAATAGTCAACATAATTTTAATCATGAGCTTAAGGAGTCTATGTTTTTAGATTCTCATGCTAAAGCTCCTCGTGATGGTGGTTGAGTATTTCTGCACTGCTTTGATCATGAGTGTGACAGTTTCTTTCAAAAGTAGTGTCATTTTGTAACATAGAGCTGAGATTCCAGAGAAGAGACAGAAAATTAGATGTCAGTCTGCTGGAATAGTGAGTTAAGCCTTTACGGTGATAACTGGTAGTAAGTATTAAGGAAAGTTTTAAATAGTGCAAAAATTTAGCCATATCATAACCAATATGGGGTGCAATTGGTTTTACTAATTATTGCTGATTTGTACCTGTTCATTTATATTTTGTTTAATACTTAATAAGATTCTTAAGATGGGGCAAAGGATTTAACCCTACATCAATTTTTTATTTCAATATAAGAGGAAACTTATAAAATGTCACACCTATTACTTTGCATTAAGTATTGCAGCAGGACTATAATCCCTGAAGACTTGCCAGGAAACAAGCCTACAGTGAAATGAAGCACAAGTGCAAAGATACACTTTTTTTTTTTCTTCTTTTTTTTAAAAAGCAATCATTATACCGCATGTTGGGAAATTCTGCCAAAACATTTTAGCACTTTTTTTCATTTTTCTGACATCTAAATACTTTCATAGCTTCTACATACGATAAGTGGGATGCCATTATGGAAACTGATTGACTTAGTAAATTATTCTTTTTCATGCATCTAACCCTACTAGCAAAGTTAGAAAAAATTGAAGTACAAGCTATACAAATCTCTTGACAGGTGCAATGATTTAAACATACTGTATTTATTCTTTTGTAAATGATGAATTTTCAAATCTGGCATCTGTTTTTCAGCAGTGTGAAATAACTGTGACTTTTTTCCTTCATAATGTTTTGTTTTCTTTGATGCAAAAAGTAAAAATCACAGTACTGCTTCTTTGCTGGCGTTTACTTGGTAGCTCAGCAAATTGCCTAATGAAATGAGCAACATTATATCGTTACATGCATGGTACTGACCATGGTAGGCTGTAACCTCTATAAGCATGCATAGCTGTTGTATAAACTAGAATTTAAAATAAATGGAGATTTAACATTAACTGAACTGAGATAATTTTATTGTGTTGTTAAACTCTAGTCTGAGCTTGTGTATGATGCATTTATCTGCTTCTCTCGGGGTTGACAATTAGATGTGAAATTCTGTAGTCGTAATGAAATGCAGAGCTATTTTATAATTGCCAAGGGTAAAATTAGCAAAGTCAATTATTTTCCCTTAGGCTTTTCCCTGTAGATATTAAAAGGCTGCAAGGTAATTGCCTTAGGTAACACTTTGATTTTTAAATAACATTAAATATAGGAGTTGTTGTTGTTAATTCATAGTAATTTTCCACTTGCTACTGTTGTAGAATCTATCTGTAATGATGTTAACAAGATTTGAGGCTCAGGGCTTGTGTTTTTGGGGGTTTCTTTTAAACTTTTGCTCCTACTTCTTGTACGTTACTGAAGTTATGCAAAAGAAGGGTTCGGGTGGTTTTTTGTTTTGGTTTGTGGTTTTATTTTAATAGTTATTTTATTTTACTATCTGAGCCTCGAGAACTCTAGATTTTTTGAATTGTCAGGAAGCCTCCTGTAAGCTAAATTCTGCTGTTGTACTATTATAAAGTAATCTAAAATTTTGTTTTCTGAACATGCAAAATAATTCAGAAAGAATTCAGAAGAAATTCTCATTTTCTACTTTATGAAATTATGAGGCATTAATTGTGATTACGAAGTTGGTATTGACTGTGTTTTAAAATAAAGAACTGAAGGGCAGATGTGTGTGCATGCTGCAATTCTGTAATTGTGGCAGAGTTCTACATTTATTCAGGTAAAAACTTTAAAATGAACAGTAATTTCTTCAGAAGCCTTTTACAGCTACAAAGCATTAGATTGATCAGATCACATGTACTTACAGTCCTTTTATACATTCATGTTAAGATTTTGATCACCTTATTGAAACTATCCTCGGTCTACTTTGTATTTTGGATGGTGGCTTTTCTTGGCCTGCTGATTGTGGTGATAAATTATGTTTGAAGATAATATGGGTAAAAATCTTATTTCAGAGCTGTGTCCTGTAGTAGATTGTACATTGCTAATCCATGGATTTTAAAACAGAATTGAATCCCAAGATGAATTGGTTGGGATCTTCTAGTAGATGGTGTATCAGCAGTGGCTTTAGGAACAGTGGGCCTTTGACAAGGAAAGGCATATTTGGTTTTTGCTACTTAAATAGTAGTAATGCCTGGTAATGTGCTGGTTTATTGGATTGGGGTGTGTTTATGTGGGATGATGGTATTATTTTGAAAGGTTTTCTCATTTTGAGGGTGCAGTGTTTTGATACTAGGATTGTAATGAGGTATTTGTAATAGTCATCACAAACATGTAAATGTGGGAGAGATGGAAACGCATATTTGCCTAATAAAATAGGGTACCTCCCAACTATCTTGTGGCTATATGCAGTTTTAAGTAAATATGTGAATAAATCATTAAAAAGTGTAAGATGATATGTTTAACTGTTGGTTCTTTGTTGCCATCAGAAGGTACTATGTCTTTAACATTTGTTATCTCGCTTTGCCTAGCCAAGGCTATTGGTATGAAACTGCTAACAGCAGCTGTTGTTGTTTGAAAGTCCTTTGATTATGGCCTGGTGGCATTCAGATGCAAACACAGCAAATATAATAAGCATTAATTCTGTCATCTGTCAGATAGATAAGTGATATGGACATTATAACACAAGTGATGTGTGAATATTGACTGATATTATCAAGTAATGTGCTTTTTCAGGGTATATCACAGATAAGTTGGAAGAAGCCTTCTGCTTCCTAGAGTATTAGAATCATCAGTTGTCTTATGCAACTATGGAGAGGGTGCATAAAGATATAATTATGACCAGTTTCGATCCTCCTGTACTTGGAAGACAGTGATACATAAAACTTCAGAAAGATGAAATTATGCATTTTAGTGCAATGCCTACTGTAATGTGCTGATGACTAAAGAAAACGATAAAATAGTATGTAAATGTATTGCTTGCAACTCCATAAACTGGTAGGAAGGCATCCTTTTGTATTAATAAATAAATAAAGTAAATAGCCCACAAACCAACCAAAACCTCATCATCAGAAAACAACACAGCCAAACAAAAAAATAACCCCAACCCACCTGCAAAACAAAAGATAAAAGAAAAAAAAAAGCAAGCCTACCCCTGAAATACAGGCAGTGGTAGTGTTCTCCATACTTCTTACTGAAATCTTAAGCGTGACTGTTTTCCCACTATAATTCATTGAGCTATTGTGGGAATGATGAAACTATTCACAGAAGTGCTTCAAAATCTACAGCCTGAAAGCTTGGAATTGAATTTAAGAATCTTGTCTATCAATGCAGAGCTTTGCCAGAAGTCTGTATTATAGAGCATTGTTTTATTAAGCATTATTTGTTTATAAATAAACCGTACCACAGATGTAGTACTTATATAGTGGATTCAATTCCTTATGTTAAGTTTATGTGTTCTTAAAGGCATAAATGTGTTTATGTGTATGTGAACACAAGGCCTATTTGGTAAACAAGTTAGTCATATAAATCTTCCTATGTCTTCCTTTTGCAACAATCTGAATGTACCTTATGCTTCATAAAAGAATTGCTTGATCTTCAACTATGGTTTCTCCTTCTGGTTGATCTTAGTCCTATTGGAAAAGTTGTTTTGAACTTGAGTGACTTGGCTCCTTGCTGACCAGTGAAGAATATGGAGAGCATCCCCTTTCTGGAATTATGCCAATTGCTTTTTTTGATGTAAATTGACATTTTTGAGAATTGACAAAGTTAGAATCTACAATTTTAATTTTTAAATGTAATTTAAAAAGGGTAGTACTTGTATCAGGCTTTCTCTTGCCTTGGGTGATGCTAAGAGAAGAACATAATCTCTTAAAAGATATCTTTTCAGTATTAAAAAAGTGCGAAATTATGGGTTGGCTAAAGAAGTTATTCCCAGGATCAATGGCAGTTTTGTGGTCCTTTCTTCAAAACTGA